GTGGAAGCTGAGGAGAAGGCTTGGCATAATTTGAAATCACCTTTGGGATTCTGCCTGTAGAAGGATCTGAGTCACCTATTAGCACTTGTTACATTCTATTGTCCCAAATACCTGTATAAGGTAGAGACTAAATAAGGCTTATAGTCTGACTTAAAGGTGACTTTGCGCTTGGAACTGGTTTTCCTGGAGATAAGTCCAATTCTTAAAGTAATTTTAAAGATTAAAGTTGAGTGTTTGTTTTTCAAAAAGCTTTGTAATCATGAAGAACATCAGCTTCAAGTTCTACATGAGATTTGACTGTAGGTGTGCATCTGCTTTATGAACAAATACAATCTTTAGCATATGTACACTGTGTTATTTGAAAGGTTTTGGTGTGCCAAATTCATCAGTCAAAATAAAGTTCACTGAGATGTATAAGATTCCCAGTACAAAATACTGTTTCAAGTTATAGATGTTGTTCCCTTTGATTCTTGCATAGGAGCGTGACTTCCCTACAGAGATGGTGAAGTTTGGACCTGAGCGCATGTATATTGACTGCTGGGTTAAAAAACAAACTTACGAGACGTTCAAGGAGATCCTGGGGTCGGGGATGCAATACCATTTGCAGGTGAGCTGCTCTTTGACACTTGCCCAGACTGTTCCTCTGTGTCTGGCTTCTTTGATGGTCTGAATTACAAAATCCTGAGTAGAACTCAGTGAAGTGATGAGCCTTGCATTTGAGGTGTTAAAGACAGCACTTAAATTAATTACAGTGAGCTAAAGCTGTCTGGGTAAGCTGCTTCTGAGTTGTAGCCTGGGTATACTAGCGTAGTAATCAACTTCTCCAAGAAGTAAAAAATTTAAGCTGAATATGTTTTTAGCTTCAGGGTTTTCCCTGAACCCTTGTGCTTCTTTCAGCACAGTGGTATAGTTGTCTGGCTGCTATAAAGCTGCATGCCTCCACCCTTCCTGTTCAAGCCTGTGAAAGAAAGGGAAAGTTTTAGTCAAAAATAATGAACACAACTTGCAGCACCACACAACGGTGACAGCATTGCAGAAGAGAAGGCATACTTTATCTCTGTTCTGGGAACTTCTTTACTAGTCATCTGTTTACATATGTAACAGAAGCAGGAGCTGTAGTTTAGGAATATATGCTCCCAAATTGCTGTGATAATCATGGGGTTAAAATCTTCAGTCCTGTGTTAATTGAATTTCTGTGTGACTGAGGGAGCTCAGGCATGTAGCAGGTTTTTCAGTTTTTTCAAGTACTACTTTCACAGACAGATATTTTAAAACTGGTGTGTTGTGAAAGCATACAGGTCTGTTCAGCTGCCTGATTTTGTGTAGAACAGAACAGTGTCTCATTTGCTGGGACAAAAATGTCAAAGGAGGCAGGAGGAGCTGTCTGTCTTCTCAAGGTGCCTGTTTTTGCTTTTAGCCTTATTCTGGTTGAAGGAGGAAATGTTCTTGACTTAATTGCAAAAGATAGCAGCAATTTGACACAAATCTTAGGGTTTCTTACTGGAATATTTGATATTTCACAGTAGTCAACTTTAGAGACTCGATAATTAGAGGGGAAACTAATCATTTGGTGTGTTTCTTGTTTAGTCAAATGACTTTCTTCGGAATGTGTTTGAGCTTGGTCCACCAGTAATGCTGGATGCTGCAACTCTTAAAACAATGAAGATATCCCGTTTTGAAAGGGTAGGTTATTGCACTAGAATGAATTGTCTTTGCTTCCCACTCTAATTACTCCTGCACTTCAGAAGTTGTCATTGTTACACTGTAGTTCTAAGAGTGCCTCATACTGTCCTGAATGAAATCCAGCCTTACTTGTATGCATGTATGAACTCTTAAATTTTCTACTGGGCATGTGTCTGCTTCTATATTTTTTCCAAGGGGTCTGAAGGTTGATGTGGTTGCTGATGGGTACTAAATTCATGCTCCACACATGTGAAACTTGGTCTCCTCTGAGAGATCCATGTCTTTGGGGAGGCACCTACAGGAAACTGTGGAAACTGAGTCTTCATAAAGAGTGTGTCCCAAACTCTGCAGTGTGAAATGGGCTCTAGGAGATTGCAGTCACTATCAACAGAATTAGGCCATTAATCCTTCGTATAATTTGGGGAATGGTGCAGTCAAGTTTTATCTTGCAGGCAAATTTAATCTGGGGGTAAATGTAACCTACATGGTATCTGCTTGATGTTCAAGACTGACTGGCTTCCAGAACTACTCATAGTTCAGCCTTTCTTTATAGGCCAAGTTTCTTTTAAATATATCTGTCTGTCTATATATGTATACACACAGAGATTAGCCTTTGGTGCAAAGACAGTATACTATAAATTTCAGAAGGTGTACCAGTTTACTTCAAATATTAATAAAGGGATATTTTCATTTGTTTTGTAACATGAAAAAATCTCTGAAGGGCATAAGCCTTATGACAATATGTAATTCTTTTTTCTTTTTTTGTTTTGTAGCACTTGTACAACTCTGCAGCATTCAAGGCTCGGACAAAGGCTAGAAGTAAATGTCGTGATAAAAGAGCAGATGTGGGGGAATTTTTTTAGATTCCCTTTTCAATGGGGTTCAATTTTCATTATTCAAATAAATTTGTAACATTTAAATGAATTTTTTAACTTCTGTAGTCAGTTTGCAGTTGTGCATGGGTTTGTTACATAGTCTGTAAATATAATGCATGTTGTTGCTTAGTTTTGTATACATTGTATATAGATTGATGTAACATTTGGTGCAGGGACACATTATAATAATATACATTAGACCCCCACTAGCTCCAAAGGTCGATTATGTTGTAACTGATATATTAAATGGGGTGGATAACTAGTCAAATGCTGTGTGTCAGATTGGATTCTTAATATAAAGGTAAAGTCATTGACTAAGTGTTCTGGTAAGAATATGAGAGGATGACCATGTTTGTGTGAAATTATTTTAGTAACTTTTTAAAACTCCAGTGACATACAGACAAGAAATCTCTATGTAAGTGTAACTTTATCCTGACAGGGACTATGAAGTTCAGTAACTTCCACTGACAAATACTTGCCTCCATGTAAAATAAAAGCAAGATTCTTGTGTTCTGAAATTGAATATTTAATTTTTGGAATAAAGATGTTTCTCACTGCCTGCACTCTGTGTAAAAGTAATTACTCCATCAATGAAAAGCTGTAACACTGTCAAAACCTTAAGGTTGGAAGGGATGGGTTTATTTGCTGGTTCAAACAAGTGCCTGGGGTATTCTCAGTGTGTTAGTAGGTGCTACATGCAAGTCTACCTTGCTGTGTTTCAAAGGTGTCTTATACTTGCATGCACAACTGCCTAATCTTGATTTGCCATTGTTTCTCTAATGGTCAAAAATTTTCTAGTTTTGGTGCTGCAAAACATGTTGTCCTGTATCTTAAAGGAACCATTCTGGCTTCCCTGTTCTATAGGACTGAAATGTGCCAGTAGTTGAGAACTGACTTAGGAATGGGGGGTGGGGGGTGTTATGTAATAAAGATACTAAAACCTGGATAGCTAGAGCTTCTGAACCTGAAGATCTGTACAAGTGCTTGTTTAAATAAACATTCTTAAAATGTTTGCCACCAGATGAAGTAAACATTGCATTGGAAACAACCCCACCCCCTGAAAACTGTTGCCTGTTCTGATAAGGGAAAGTTGGGTTTAGGGTGGAGAGGTTTTTTTTTGCTTCCCAGTTTCTGATTACAGCTGAACCTATTCCAGAAAGCCAGTGAATACTAATGAGTTGTACTTTCTACTTTAACCTGGTTCCCCCCCACCCCCTCAAATAATTCACTATGTAAGGATTTGTTTGTCTTGCAAAACTGATCACTTGGACTACACAAAATCTTGAACAGAAAACTGTGCTGATAGGGCATGTGTCAGTGTCATACAAGTGGAGAAAAAACTGATCCTTAAACAAGGTGAAGCTGTGTGCCTGTACTTGCCTGGCCAAAGACCATTCCCTTAGAGCAAAACTGTTCCCTCGAGCCTGTTGCGTCTCCTGCAGCTTCTGCTTAGTCACCTTTGGTGCCCTTTGCCAGGAACTTTTGATGGCTTCCTGTCCAGCGTTTCTGCAGCACCTCCTGGCAGGGGGCTGAGCAGGTGCTTGCCCTTTTCCCTGCTACACTGTAGCTGCCACCCACAGTGGCCCACCTGGCTTCCTGTGCTGTTGCAAATGTGGCTCTTCTGCAGCCCTGCAGACATCCCTTGGGTTTGCAGATCTTTTCAGCTGGAGAGGTTTGGGTCATTCTCTTATGATTATTTTGGTGTCAGGAGTTTTTAGGCATGGACATCATACTGATGGATTTCTTTTTTTTTTTTTTTTTTTCCCTGGCTTTCACATCCTTCTTTGGAGGGAGGACTTCCAGGAGACTCCTGCAGAAAGGGAGCAATTCTGAGCAGCAGAAAGTGTCAGCTTAGGGTGGGAAATATGAGTGAGGTAGTTTATTTTCTTGTTTCCTGAGAGATAAATATGGGCAGTTTAAAGGGATTCAGAATTTTAGACACGTGATAGCTTCAGAAAGGATTTGTGGTTTTGAGCTGCAGTCCCTCTGCTGCAGTTGCTCTGTCAGTGCCTGTCAATACAATGTGCTGTAACACTGCCTTCTGCAATGTCAGCAAAGAAAAAAGTGATCAAAAGATCTGTCAGCAAAGAAGCAATTACACTACTCACCACCAGTTCCTCAGAACTTAATCTTTGAACAGCTAAGGATGCCAGACCAATTAGTCCACCCTGTAATACTGTCCCACTTGAATTCATAAAGTGTATGGGAGAAGGAGGAAAGACCCTGGTTATTCTAGTCTATGACTTTAAAATACTCATGGCTGCAATACTGTAGATATGACTGTGCTGCATAGCAAACTGGTTACTCATAGCTACAGTGTTGTAGATACGACTCTTCTGCATAGCAAATGCGTTTTAGATGAACACTAAAGCCAAGAGGTTTGGCACTAACCAAAAGATTAATGAAATACTGATCATCAGTAACAACCCTTATTCTCCATGATGGGGTATTGTCATGATTCCAATATAATAAAAAAGAGCTGTGTAAGTGCTGATTTCTGGTTTAGCAGATCAATATTGCAAAGTGAGTATAGTGAGTGAGTGGCCAAGCTGAACTCTAAATATAGACTGAGAGGGGCAGTCTGTTTCACGGCTATCTTCATGGGTACTGCAGGACTCGACAGGTTCCTATGGGACTAAAAGTAGAGAGGAACTGCAGAACAAGTTTTCTTCACATGATTTTCACTGGCTGATTTCTTCCATACTGGCATATTACCTGAATGCAATTATGTTGTAAGTAATGTTTCATTCTCATATTTTTTTAACCTTTTAGGTTTTATTTCTTTTTTTTTTTTTCTGTGAAGAATTCTCAGTGTGTTCTCATTCTAAGTTTTTTGGGTGGTTTTTTTTTCTTTGTTTTTTTTTTTTTTTTTTTCTGTGAAGAATTCTCAGTGTGTTCTCTTTCTAAGTTTTTTGGGGGGTTTTTTTTTTTTTTGTTTTGTTTTGTTTTTTTTTTACCACAATGACATAGGAAGAAATTAAAAAGTTGTATTGGGGAAAAAAGTCTTTAGGCAAGGTTAAAGTACAAGATAAAGTGAATCCAAAGATCCTAATGTTTAGATTGATTTGTTGGGAAAATAATCAATACTTTTGTCCAGTGACACTAGCGTTTGTATCCTTTCTCCTTTGGCACGTCAATGGAATCAAACAAATGTAATATAAACTTTTTGGAATCAATAATGGTAATCTTCACTGTCTTTACACGTGCACTGTCTTTACATGTACTTAAATAAGTGCAGAAACATAGAATTCATAATACTCATGAATCAAAGATAGTCACATTTACTACACCTCAAGCTGTTAAGAAGAGTCTTCCCTAAAGCTGCAGGGAGGTTTTAATCAAAAGAGAGAAACAACTGCTCTTCAGAAGCTAAAAATAACCAGCAGCATTTGTGTGTGAAGTGGTAACTTTTGGCACACCGTTCAAACACAGGGCTCCACAATGATTGTGCTGGCTGAGGATGTGCATGTGGGGAGACAGCAGAGCAGAGCCAGCTCTGTTGGGACGTGGCTCACAGACTGTTGTGCTGCCTGCTGCCATGTCATGCTCTAGAGGAAGGACAGTGGCACAGCCATCTGTCCTGAAGTTACTGCTGCACACATAAAGATCAAACACTAGGTAAGGTTAACTCCTACCATGCCAGCTTTTCTATATTTTCTTTGTACTTTGAAGCAACGCTTCTGAACAGAGAAAAAAGTAAGTTGTAATCTTTTCTTATGGGTTGTTAAAAAGACATATGAAAGTATCCTTATAGTCCTGTCAGTCTCTACTAGCAGGAGAACAAGCCCTATTGTCAGGATTGCTTTCAGTGCTTAGTCTTCAGACTTAACTGAGGCTCATTGAATGTCTACTTTGCAGTGTGCTCAGGTTTGGGGGAATTATAGCCATCTTCTGCATTTGGTTTGATGAGGGAAGGAGTGAGGATTTTCAGCAAACAACTAGGGTTCAAATTTTAGATTTTTAATTTAAGTGTTTTGTTAGGAATCTGGTCACACTGTGTTCTGTATTCCTTGGAGAGGAAGAGAAGGCTCAGAAGCATGTCAAGAGGACAGTTAACCCATCTAGGACACAGAAATCACCCTTAGGTGCTTAACACATGTCATCAAGGGAGGTTTGCATCCCACAAAGTGCTGATTTATGTTGGCAGATAAAATTGAACTTGGGAGCTTTGTAAAATACTAAATGGGTAAGATGCATTCTAATCCAAATTTAAACTAATCTGTGGGGGCACCCTCCTTACATTCACTAGCTTGAAAAACATACATTTAGGCTGTGATTCCAAGGTGAGAAAAGAATATTTTAGAATAAGAGGGATATTACCTTGAGGAATATATTTTTCTTCAATAATTATGGAGGGAGTTTTCAGTGACAACTGAATTGTAGACAAACATGCCTGCTTAGAGTGTCTGCATCTCCTTATGGCTAGGAGGGTAGTTTGTTTCTGGAAAACATTTTTGCAATCAGAGTAGTGTAAAGAAAAGCAAAAGACTGATAAGGAATAATGTACCATACATAGAAGCCACCTCCCTAGGTATTACTTATTTTCTATGTATAATCTTCTTTCAAAACTGTATTTATGTTAAGAATCATTCACTGAGTTCATGCACCCAGACTCTGCAGAGAAACTGTTTTCACTAATTGAACTTCATCCAGTGCCTTTTTTAAAGCAAGGGGTACTAGTCTGAAGAAAAAGCGTTTAGAATTTGTCCAAAAGTGCGAAGTAGACTATATTTTTTTCACAAATAATATCTTCACAGTGATATTCTAAGGTGTGTAAGCAGGAACATACTCTTGTTGCTTATCTCCTACATTCATTCCTGCTTTCCCTGTTTTATCTCTCAATTATTTGATGCTTAAAGAAGAGGACCTGAGTGACATCCTTCCTGGAAGTGTTGGTGAAGGTTTGGCTTTCACCGTGGTCAGGATCTCACACCACCTCTTACCAAATACTCACCAAATCAAGGGATAATATACTAAATAGGTACCATAAAAAGTCAAATTGACTTTTCTCTTTCTCTCTTTCCCCATACACACACGTATGTGCACAAACTCAATCCAAAAATGAAATGTTTTAATAATCGAAGATTTCCAATAATAAACACGTGCTATATATTGAATTGTCCCTGCCTTAAAGATCTAGTAAGTGTGCTGGTCCTTCAAATCTCTGTATTTTAAGGATCGTTTAGGCTGCTCAGTATTTCCTTAGAACAGGATACCAACTGTTACAAGTTATTTCCCACAGCCGTGTGTTAATTTACCTTTTAAATTATTGTTTCTCTTAGAGACAATGGAGAGGCCTTCCTTGGAATTTAACATGCCTGATGGTCATGAAGAAGGAAAACTTTATGTAGTTGATTCCCTAAACAACCTAAACAAACTAAATGTTTGTCCAGATGAATCCCAACATCCACTGGGTATGTATGATAGGTGATCTGTGGATTTCTGTATATACAATCCATATTGTGTGTCACTGATGTCAACAGCCTAACAGGCCAATAGGTATGCCAAGCCCTGTACTGAAAAATGTAAAAAAAAAAAAGATTGAAAATGGCATCATGTAGACTGATCAGACAACGATTTAGCTGTCCCTGCTGAGTATTTCTGCTTTAGGTTCCTGAAAATCCTTGCATTTAGTTAGGGATTTGCTTTCAAACCTGAACTTATCTTCTATTTCAGTTGGGATTTATGAGGTGATCTCTTGCAGGATAATGTCTCTAGTAATGCCCAATATACACCTACTGTATAAATAGCATTATAGCTCTTCCCAAGCACTAAAATTCATGGCAATAGAAACACCTGAGAATTTCTGCTCTTTCCTTTAAGATGCATCTCCTAAGAACTCAAACCAGAAACCTGAAATACCCTCTGAAACCTTCAAGCATTTTGCTTTCTGCATTTTCTTTACTCACAGTTTCAGTTATGGCTCCCACATTTCTACTGGTTTGATAAGGCTTTTGCCTTTGATTTCTCACAGCAACAAGAATATTTTTACCCAGAGACAGCTACAATTTGAGTTCTTTGTGACCTGAAAATATCTTAAAACCCGGAGCTCTTCAGCAGCATTCCACATAACAATGTGTCTGCTTTAATTTCCCTCATTGTAATGGTAAATTTGAGTGAAGAAATTTATAGATCAACAGCTATGCTGAAATGTTGCCATAACTTAATCATGCTTCTAATTATGGGTCTTAAATATTTTCTCGTTACTTCTGTTTCCAAGTCCCCTAACTTTTCCTAGTCGTACTAACTAGAGTAGTGCTGGTTTCCACATTTAACACAAATATTTTAGACATAAAGTACTAATTTCTTATAAACAGATTATCTTGATATTGTCACTTCTACACATGAAAAATGAGACAATGGCATTTATAAATTTTAATTTTAAGAAGCTCCTTTCAGTGTGACTGTTTTGCTTTCTTTTGAAATTTTATTGGACAGTATTATATACTTTTCATGTAAATATACAAGGTTCTGTGGAAACATATATGATTCTCTGGAATAATCACATGCATGTCCCTCCCTAATTTCAGCAGTAAAAAATGGTAGCTTAATAAGTACTTTATTCATAAATTTGTAAAATCCTTTGGTTCCTTCCAGGATTATTTTTTCAATGTATCTTTTAAGCTTGGAGAGTCTGTAGATATCTCATCCTGTCAGCTAACTTACTCAGCAGCATAAAACTCTGGTTCTCTTGACAGAAAATCAGAGACATGTCAAAAGTTGTTTAAAATGCATATGCTGTTTGGTTGCTTCAATAGAACCCATGCACTAATTTCATGTTTTAGATGATAAAATGTTCCCACTGCTTGCAGTTTGACAAGAATGTGTGCTCACCCATTCCTCACAACACTGCAGCCTGGCACGTTCAGCCTGATGAAATAGTAAGAAGTATTCATTAGGCAGAGCGAGCTCAGCCTAATTTTGAGACCACTGTAGATAACTTAGGTTGCTTGGCAGGCAGCAGAAGCAGGTCCTGCCCATCCCTATTATTCTGATGAGAAAGGAATATTGGTGCAGACACTTATTATATAGTGCATTTATTATGAATGCTAAGGGAGTAAGAATAGAACCTCAAAGGAGAAATATGAAAATATTTCAGCTTACTCATGGACAGGAGTGTGTTGAACACAAAATAAAGAAAAACAGAGATATTGCCAGAGATCTACCAGCTCAGTGGATTGCTCAGCCCTAGGTAGGGTCATTATTAAAGTCCTGTAATGGCATATGCACCCTTTCCACAGCTTTATCACTACAGGCTCAGTTGCAAAGACCTCAGAGATTTCAACCAGGTAAAACAAGAACATGACCTAGAAATACATTTTTCACAGATGCACACCCTACTCTCCATTTCAGAATGGCAAGAGAGCAATTACAGAAGGATAAATTACAGTAATTTGCACGTAATTTTAGCACGTATGAGACTGACACCAAAGTGAAATTACATTAGCTTCCTCCTCCCTCCAAAACAGAAAATAAACCCAAATCTTTGTAAGTTTTAACAGCAGTATACAAGCATAAGATTAAACAAATCTGGCTCAAGTGTAAATTTTTTGCATTCACATGAATTTCCTCATGGTGTTCACTTGACTTGTTATCTTTGGGGCTTACTGCCGCCTCACATTGATTGCAACTGTTTCTATGAGAGAAACTACTGAATTTCCCTATATATGCAACACATTCTTTAAAAAGCATTGAAATGGCTTGTTGAGCTGATTCAAGGTCAGCAGTGAAAGTGCCTTTCTTTTTCCCCTCATTCTTCCTGTGCTTAAGGACAATGTCTGTAGTCTATGTGAGAGTCTGTTCCATTCCTGACAATTGGGAGGATAGGTGCCTCATTTCTTACTAGAATGAAACCAACAAATCCTAAAGATGAAAAATATTGAAAACATCTGTTTTAAGATAAAACAGCCAAGACCTAAATTCATTCTATCCAACATTAGGGGTTTAACTGAGGTGTTTACTTTGAGAGATTAATCATCCCAGGGATACTGCTCATGAAACAGAAAAAGAAGCATATCTAGAGGATGAATGTGTATGATGAATCTGTACCTTGGTTTTCAATATGAATTTCACTTTCTTCCCTTTTGAAAAAATTAAATGCAATTAAGCCCTTATAAATCTGCCTGAAGAAAACTTCATTGAAGCCTTTGTACATGTAAAACAGCTGTAAAACTCTGAACTGTAAAACAGAAACTTCAGCAAAACACTGTATTTCAACACAGAAACATTTTTGTTGAATGTGTTCTAACAGCTATAACAGATGAATAATTTTTTTATATTTCCAAATTCAAGCTGAGTTAATAAAGTTGATTTCTTCCCCTTTCATGAAATATCACAGGAAATAAAACCTGCTGACCAAATATACAACGTATTCTACATCATTTCATGATGCCAGAAGCATTTTGTCATGCTTATCCTAACCAACCTTAAAAAAACTGTATCACCAAATGGTTTGTAATCTCTTAACAGATGAGGAAGAGAACACTGGTGGTACTCCAGAAAGTACGGCAGGGAGCGACGCAAGAAACCAGCGTTTGTTCTTCGTCACCTTTATTCTTACTTTGACCGTCAGTTTGGCACTTGTTTCATTTGTAATATTCTTAATATGTAAGTAAACCAAAGAGTAGTTCTTGAAAATACTTCAAGAGTATTCAAGTAGGTTCAGTTGGAAAAGAACTTTGCTGAAATGTGTCATGTTACCTTGTAACATGCTACTCCTGTATTTGCACGGTCAAAGGCTTTGGCTGGTTCTGGGCACTGGGTCGTGGTCCTGGGGGCAGAACCACAGGCAAACAACACTCTCTCAGGGCTAAAAGGCACAATTTTATTCTTAGTGCTAAGGATTTGTGAGCTTCAACAGCTGTGAAGAATTTATCTCAGCAGCATTATACTGTGTTGCTAAAAATGCTGGCTGGGAATGAAATTAAAATTTAAAGGTAATTGTATGGCAGTGAGATACTTTGGAAACGTGCCTTCCATTTCTTTCCAGATAAAACTCAGTATTGGGGTCATTCCACTGAAACTGGAATTCCACCCAGGCTAACACTTAAATCAGGCTACCTGAAGGAAGACCTGACCCTTTCTCATCAAAGTACTGCCTGGAAATTGATTTGGTACTAAGAAAGTCTTAAGCATAAGTAAAAGAATTAGACATTTATTAAGATTTGCATGTAGCATTGAGTCTATAGACACAATTACTGTTCCAGTTTTTTAGGACTGATCAGGCAGGTTTAGCTGAAGACATGGCTGGTTAATGGAACCCTTGTCATCTTGGGGTTTTCTGAGCTAATAATATTGAATAGAATCTGAGGTGCATTATTTCAATTTACAAGACTATTTTGAAAGAATTTGAACCCATATACAATCAAGATTTCTTATATCCTGTAGTAGGGAATTTGCTGAAACATAGCGAAATGATTTTTCTTTTAGGCCAGAAAATCCTAACCCTTGATTAAATTTTCTTACAGGCACTCAAAGAAATATCAATATATGAACATAAAGTACATTTTAAGTAACATGATTGTAAAATCCTAATTGAAATACCTCATACTTGAATTTCAGATGCTAAAAGTAGAGCCTTGGTATAGAAAAATTAGTATTGGGTTGCTCTAGTGGAAAAATTATAAACTAAAGAGAAAAATTTCTTACAAGAATTTAAGCAGTTTGCTTGCACTCAGGTTGGTGGAGGCCTGGGTTTTTGAAACTGATTTCCAGTGATGTTTCAGTTTATGTTAAAATGTTTTATTAGATACTTATAGATATAGTGTGTTCTATAATCTGAGATGTTTGCAAACCAATGCATAGATTCATTTAGCATTGCTACTATTACACTCAAGCTTCAAAACCCATGGGTAAATTTTTTAACATCAGAAAGCCAAAAGAAAAATAGCTCCAAGTGTGCATATTGGCATGCCAGAGGAGGCTGACCTCGAAATGTCAGTATTTGCAAGAAATTTTCTTTTATTTGAAATAAAATATATGCACATGCCCCAAACTGGATCTTGAAGCCCCCAAATAAGACATTTCCCTGTTGATACTAATGGTTATCCTCCTGAAAAATGCAAAAATTGTCTGAGCCATATATGATTTTATTACTCTGCACTAAACTAAAAGAAGAATCCAGCAAATAAGCAAAAAAGAATGTACTGAGCAGGTAAACCCACCACATCTATAACTTATTATTATTAGGTTCTGTAGTTGTTTTCCTGTTTAATATTTTTAGTCATCATTACTCCTCACAGGAATACAAGTGAGGGTAGTGATGCTCTTGACTTAAATGCTGCCCATTTAATGTGGTAAATTCTCCTTTTCAAGTCCAAACTAGAAATGAGGTGGACCAAATATCAAGCAGACTACTATCTGAAAAGAAGAACATAGAAGAGCTGAAGAAACTTAACAATATTATATTAAAGCATCTGAATCAATCCAGAATTAAGGAAAAGCCTTCTGATCTTCGTGATTACCTCTTTACCCATGCTGAGCTCAAAGTCCCTGGAGAATAAATCTTCTTTGGAAAGAAATTCAGCATATTCATAACTCAGACATGTTCACATATGGCACACAGGTTGCTGAAACATGGTTGCTGAAACATTGCTGGAAGAGCCAGCTGAATTAAAAATATTAGCAATTAATATTTTACCCTGTTTTACGTGGACAGAGATTTGTAATACTAAGCCCATAGGATTCACAATAAACAATGGATTGTCAGTCTGGGGCAAACTTCCAGATTCCCTGTGCATTTTAAATCACAGGGGTAAGGGCCTAGTTTTACTTTAAATGTAAGTGAATGATCACAGAAAATCACGAGTTCTATTCACATGATTCCAGCATGACCTTGTTCACTTAATCATTCTTCTGTTACCTTTGTACAAGCTTTCTGTTTGTTTCTATTATTATTTGTATTTAAGGATAACTTCAGATTTCATAACTTATAAATAAATCAATTTCTTGATTAAAATTATAAATAAATCAATTATAAACTTATAAATAAATTAATTTCTGGTCTAGAGTTTTGTGGTTTTCCCTTCTGTGCATCTAAATATACTACTCTTTTTGTGAAAAAAAAAAAAAACAAACACCCAACCTTGAATAACAACAAACCCTTTCATAAGATGCCATAATCAGCCCAAATTTTTATTGACAGACTGAATGTCCTATTGCCTTACATGGAAAATGTGTTTAGAGGACTCAGTCTGGTAATGTCACAGCATCATCACAGCCACTATCTCACAGCAATGCCAATACACTGTACTCACAATTTGCAGGTGAAGCCCGAGTGTTTTTGCAAAGTGATGTGAGGAAAATACTACATGTTCTTGTACTCCTCCCCATAGTTTCTGCTGGTCACCATCAGAGAAGGGCCAGATTAAATATGGTTGGAACCTTCATGGTTTTAATGTCGAGCGATACCTCAGAGGCTAAAAGGAGCTTTAAAGCTCTCATTCCCATCCAATTCATTCTTATCTCTTCTGGACAGTTTTACAAAAAAAGCCACCAAAGACAACAGTTAGCACTGCAGTCTTCTTTTCAGACTTCATAGTCCTTTCTGTGATGACTACTTCATTGTCTGCAACAAAGGGAAGAACTAAGTCCAGGAGAAGTTCTTGGTATCACTCTACCTGGATTTGCCCACCAATTCTATTCCTGCTATTACAAGTGCTTTGCTTTATACCTATGTTTTACATCACCCTCTTTCTATTTCCCGATTTTTATTTTCCTAATGTATTACTGTCAAGTTATTCACATGAAAATGGTGAAGATTGGTTTAAAGAGTTCATTATTCCTGCTGTTACTTCCCAGCTGCAATTTTAGTTGTCTCCTCTGGACATCACAAGTAGTTTTTACAAAGGTAAAAATCTCTAATACAGCTCTAATGTAGTTCTAATACAGCTATCAGAAAATGAAAAAAATAAGCGTAGGAAACTTGTGAGGAAAGGAACCCTGAAAGTCTAACCCAAACATCTTCCTGTAAATGCTATTAAACTATAAAAGAAAAGGTATCTTAAGACTAAAATCATGACACTTGCAGTGTTGCTTCCCTGTTCTTCTCTGAGCTGTCACCTGCTTTTTAGTGACAATATTAATTTCTCATCTCTCCCACTCCCATTGTAGTAACTGCTCTCAAGCTCTGCCTTGCATTGACACACATCCATACTTGTGAGCTAGGGAGAAACATTAGTATTTGGCACTCAGTGTATCTCAAATGTGGATTTGTCACACCCCTCATTGCAACAGCAGTTATCAGAGCAGTCTGTGGTCCGCTAAAACTGATACCAAGAGCCAATAGATTTTTTTTGTTCTGGCAGGAAACTGTAAAAAAAAAATTAAAAAGTGTGCTAGAGCAATTGTCCCCAAACATATGAAAGTTTCCTCATCTCTCTGATGTTGTCCTCAATTATTCTTAATCTGGCTGTTCAATCAGTACTCATAATAAATCCACTTTTTCTGTCTCTGCTATTGATTAGAAGTGTTGTTGTTTCATTCCATGGTTTCATCCTGCAAGGTGGTGAGTGATCTCAACTGCCCCAGTCTTATGACCAGCTGAGTCATGAGAATGTACAGGCATGCTCAGTGTCATACAGGACTGAGGCCTCAAATGATCCTTTTCATATTTAATTGCTTTTTCACTTCCAGTGATCAGCAATTAAGATCAGTGACTGAAGAGGTGCAAAGGTCAGGTGCTGGTCCTGCTAGTGCTGCTAAAACACACCTAATGTTGGGAAATACTTGCAGACACACAGGGTGTGGGATAGTAGTGACTAAGGCTTCCTTTGGCTTCTCAGCTCCAGTTAACAATATTTAACAACATCCATTTACTGGAACTGCTATCCATTTACTGCAGTCAGAACTGCTTCTCTATGACATCAGAGCAAGGGCTGAGAGCAGAGTACCACAATCCCTCCTTCAACACTCTCTGGAGGACCCCCTACAAACTCCTTTAGGGAAACTTTTCTGTCTAATCTACTGACAGTTAAGTAGTCCCAAACAAACCAATACTTCACTGAAAATCTCCTACAAATCTGACTCTGAAGTGAATTTCAGCTCAGTTCATAGGCCCATAATCCTTATCTTAAATAAACAGCTAAGTAAACTCCAAGTTCCAGCTGCATGTGATATAACCTCTGTGCTGTACATGGATGTTTTGATATCTCCTGCAGATGTGGGTAAGATCTCTGTTCCTGTATAGCTGCACATCTCAAGGGCCTTTGCAATGTCTGGTGTTACAACCAGAGGAAGATGATCTGACAGCTTCATCTTACAGTAGTCACAGCTGTTCTTGGTAGTACTGCTTCTTCCCTTTTTCTCTCATTTGCAGACTATAGAGGTATCTACACAAGTAATTCCTTAATCTTCCAGTAATTCCACTGTAAATGAAAAGAGAGCACAGAGGGTTCAGATAGATTTCACAACATGCCACTGACACTCACCTGCTGCAAGTACTATCATTGCTGAAATGACAACATGGCTTCAGGAAATTTTCTGCTGAATAAACCTGGACAATGTTAGAAAAATGCTGGTAAGCAAAGAAGAAAAAATTTAGTATTTAACCCATAATATACCTCCACCTCCCATCAAAGACATCATCATACCAATCCCTGAAGGGCTAGCTGAATCTTTAGGTTGTTAGGTAATATCAGTAGACAAAATACTTTCTTGCCTTAGTTAGCCCGCTGATAAATTCACTCCTTTGTTCCAGATATCCACATCAGCCCTTGTTCTTGTTAACTTCAAACCATCAGACAGTATCTGCCTAGAGAATATTATCTGACAGTATCTGTGGAGATACTGCCAGAGAATATGCATTACTAAATAGTAGAGGGTCAGCTGGGGCAGGCATTTGCTTGCCTTGCCTGGGGTCATGTTACCTTGAGAATATCAGCTTGTACTTGTCCTGGTATTGCTCTAGAATGAAACAGCTCAACCTCAACATCTGCAAACAGCATGGAAGAACTGAGGGCAAAACTTCCTTTATAGGCACCTGGCCAGGTCAAGGGTTACATAAATCTGAACCGTGGGAACCTTCAACAGAAAATGAGGCACAGACCATAAAGAGGGATTCTGAGAGACAATCAAATCCATCCCTCTGCCTGACAGCAGCATTCAATTTACTCCAACAATTCCTAACAGAGGCTTGTCTATTAACATTGTAAAATATTCAAATAATGGACTGTCCACAGGCCTCCCCTTCTAATGTTCAACTAAATGAACATGGTTAAATCTGTTTTTCCTGAAGTCTAACTAAAATTTTTCCTGGTGAAATTTAAGCCCATTATCAACTGACCAATTCCTTGTGAACATGAAAAATAGTCTGTACCTTCCATTTTTTAATTTATTTGATATTCTACTAACTGCAAAGAAATGGTTAAAACCTTAAGAAAGTTTTTTTTGCCCTCTGAGATACCTGGAATTTTAATCTAACATTTATTCTTAAAGTCCAGTATGAGTTCAGTTCATGTGCTTTGTTCACTGGTAACAATACAAAGCTGAACACGGGTTCTAAAAAACAATAACGACAATGTGCGAACTCTGAATGTGGAAAAAGAGAAAGCACCAGAAGTGGCAAAAGGATTGTCACAAGTTTGTTACACCACACGCTCTCGAAGGTGATGTGTTGTGTGCGGCACTCAATCCAAACTCTTCAGGAACCCTAAATATGGTCAAGGTATTTGAAAAATGAGCAGAGTGCAATAATGTTGAACAAAGACAAGAACTATTGTCAGAACACAAAGTATATGAAGAATAAAATCCCACTTCATCAGGTTTTGAAGTCTTTGATGATCAAATATTTACTTTTGTTCTATCACAGTCTTGTAAAATTACACAAGACTGCCTAAAAATATGAATTTCCATGTCTAAATTTCCAAGTTTTATTATTCATTTCACCCTGTCTGACTGGGTTTTGTGTTCTTGAGATACAGAATCTACCGCATTGGAAAGGATAGCAAAGCAATGTGCTCCGTGAAAGATTTACTGTTTTAAAAATATCTATTTTGACAGACAAAAATCAACTAATTCTAATTAGAAGTCTGATAAAGAAAAACCTTGATTAAAAAAATGCCAAGTAGCAAAAAAAAAAAAAAAAATTTATGTTTTGGCTAGTAACTGAAAATCATTTGTCCAAGAAGATGCTTATCTTGGTCTTCTTATTGGCGGCTACTATAATTATCTTGGAGATGTTGGTGAATAATGAAAGCTGGATGAAAATCTTAGATCTCAGCCCAGAGCTACTGGGATAAAGGGGATTGTTATTTTCAATTAAGAAAAAAAAAAGCACATTACATGTTACTGTTTTTATTTTCCTGACAGATTAACAAGAATACTAAGATTTAAAGGGAGGGATGGAGGGGGTGAGTGTACTGTCACTTCCTCTGGGATACATAAGAAATAATAACACTGAGGCCAAAGAACCTAGTCCTATTCAAGAACCCAATGAATCTTAGAATTTAAAAAAGGCTTTTGTAGACTCTGTTTCCGATCCTTTCTCTGGTTTCTGGGCCACACTTCAGTGATCAAAATGCTATCCACGATTCACTGATGATGAGCCAGCAAAACCCCTGAATGGTAATGAGAACCTCCAGCAGAAACAGCCACAGCGCAGTGCTGCCGCTAATTTGTCACTGTGAGGCAACCCGCATTACACACAAGGGTGAAAGGACAATTTAAAAATCGATTGCCTGCCAATTTAAATATCTATTAATAATTATGGGTTTGCTTTTGAGTTCTGCACTGCTCATTTAATCTTAATATCTTCTTCATCACATAACTGACTTTGGAAAACAGTGTCTGTCTACAAGGTGACATGAAATGCTGAAACTCCAGACAAAACTGGGAGTTTCTCCAGTTTTTTACCCCTCAGTAAAAGCTCATGAATAATTCATTAAGTTCCCATTTTAGGGTGAATTTTTTTCTTTTGTTTTTGTTGGTTTTTTTGTGGGTTTTTGGTCTTTTTTTTAGTTTTTAAAATTTTTTTTTAATATTTAGTTTTTTCTTAAAGCAACATTGAAACATTTTTTTCAGAAGAAGTCTCCCTGAGTACTCAAAATTATATGGGTGGATATTCATAATGAATTAAGGTAATAAGACAATGGGTAAGTGTTCAATCTGAAGAGAGAAAATTTAGGTTAGATATACAGAAGAAATCCTTTACTGTGAGGGTGTTGAGGCAAAGGAACTTGTTGCCCAAGGAAGTTGTGGATGCCCCATCCCTGGCAGAGTTCAAGGCTGGGTTGGATGGAGTATTGAGCAACCTGGTCATGTGGTAGGTGTTTCTGTTCATGGCAGGGCGTTGGAACTAGATGATCTGTAAAATCCCTTCCAACCCAAACCGTGCTATGATTCTATATGTAGGTAATAACAAAAATATTTTTAGCTATTTTTTAACGGAAGGTATGACATGGATTCTATGTCTCTTCGTTCATTGACACTGGTGTGCTTGAGCTGCTATTTTGATCTGAAATAGCTTTTAGTTTGCACTCCTTGCATGGATGTGATGAATCAATAGGTCCTAGTGTTTGGGAGCTGGCTTCAGACAGCATTCAGCTTCATGGAAAAATCTGCAGCAAGAGAATTCCCAGCTATGGGCACCGAGTCAGCTCTCTGAAGTGCACAGGGAGTGAATGAAATCCAGGCAATTGATTCAGCATCTATAAATAAATACTGATGGACTCACTTAAGGCCTTCTTCTCGAGAAGGGGCGGTACTGACAACACATCCAGATAAACTGATAACAGAGGAAAACCTCCGGAATTTGAAAGCTCTTCCCTAACGCGGTTCACATTTTCTGTGTCTTCCGCAAGAAGCAGCCTCCAGCCTGCGC